CCTGTGCCTAGCTCACACTCATATCTCACAGCATGACTAAGGATAAAATCATGACAGATGATACAAGGTAAGTTTGTAAGGTGACAAATACCATCTGAGAGTCCATCAGATCAAAGTTCATGTGAGACTTGGATGGATGAGCCGCCAGTGACAGTACTAGGTAGAAGATACAGAATTTAAAGGGAAAGCACCTTGTTTTATGTTACAAGAGGTATGTGCTCAAAAACCAACTTATTAATTGGACTTTTAAAAATTTTATCATCCTAATAAGATCTATACATGCCTGTGGGGATGATGTGTTATTATAAAGAGAAAATTCAACATTCAACTGGATATTTCTTATTGCTTGATCACGATTGCCAAATAATTTGGTACAAAAATCTGCTCAATATATGCCTGGTACCTAAAAAATAGTATTTAATTCAAGCACAAAGACACTCTTTTTAATGAAATTTGGGGTGGGGGGGGGAATACTTATGTTACATCTAGTTAGCCTTATAAGTACCCCAAAATACCATTGTTTGAAACCGTGATAGTTTACAGAATGCCACATATGAATTTGTATCCTCTATAAAGAAGGTGCTGTATTCCAAAAAAATAATTTGTTGTCATATATTTGGGAGATTATATTTATCTGTATCTTTTAGTAGTTGTTCTTAAGGGTTATTTGATGGTATAGGTTTTTGGCACCATTTAACATTGCTAGTGAAATCAACCAAAAACCAAAGCCAGACTCACTGGTATCAAGTAATTTCTGACTTCTTGTGACTATAGGATGGGGTAGAACTGCTCCTATTGGTTTCTGAGATTAACTCTTTACAGGAGTAGACAGCCTCATCTTTCTTCCATGGGCTGGCTGGGGGTTTTAAACTGCTGACCTTGAGGGTTGCAGCCCAATGTATAACCACTATGTCAGCAAGGCTGCAAATAGAGTGTGTGTAACACTAACAGAGGACACTGTCAGATTTAGTTGCTACTCCCCTAGTTATGAACTACATTTGAAGCACGAGCAGAAGGGGGGGGGAAACAAGACCATCAGGAGATGAGCAGGTTTCAGGTTTCTGTCTGCAGTGGCCAAGGCTGAGACCAGAGGCTCCAGATTTGGTAGCAAGCATACTATGGGACAGAGTAAAGGAGCAAAGCCAAGATTAGGGCTTAGGGCATGAAAATCATGAGATTGAATAGAGGAGCAGGACCAAGACAATGCATCTCTGAGGCAGAGTGACAGGCAGGCTTCCTTGTCCCCCAAGGCAGAGGCTAAGGTCCCATGTGACTGATAGGCTGAAGATTAGAGAGAAACTTGACTGCTGGCCAAAGAGTGGTGGTGTTATGAGTAATGACTGCATCCTTTGTGGTAGCCTGTATACTTCCCTTATAAATCCACACTAACTGTGAGTGCTGTCAGTCTGTTCTGTGTTACCATTGCAGCAAATTATGAACCCAGCATAGGAGAGGGATGTGAGTGACCAGTTTTTGTCAGAATAGGTAAAGAAGGGAGGAAAGTGTGGGGCATGTCAGACCCATCTCATTGTAAGAACAAAGTCACTAGGTGGTGTGATATGGCCACCACACCATTTATTTCAGTGGTACCAAGCTACTACTAGAGACTAATCATATTAGAAGGTCCTGAATCGATTAGAAGAAAGATATGCCACATACTGGATGGCAAGAAATTAGTGGAAACCCTACGACTATTGCCCTTGGTCACCCTTAAGATCTGGAACTGAACTCAACCTCATGGCTCAATTTTCAGCCAAAACAATTGACAAGTCTATAAGATGAATACTAACACTAAGGAGTTATACACTCCTTAGCATAATCTACCATTTGAGGTCAAAATGGTAGAATTTATACCAGGTAAAAGGCCAGAAGTAAGAAGGGTAGAGAAGGGCTAATGGAAATGGAAAACATAAGGGGAAATCTGTGTAAGTGGTATTACATTAAAGTGGTTGCAAGACATTTCTTGAAACAAAATATGAATGAATTGTTGAATGGAAAATTGATTTGCTCTGTCAGCCTTCATTAAAACCTTCTA